GCTATATAACCCGCTACTTCCAGCCCCTTTTTTACATAGGTTACGCCTAACAGTAAAAAAGGCCACCTTTCCACAAATATAAACCGATTTCGGGACAGTGCATATATGCCGCCATTTTGTAGTGGATATGTAACATATAACGAAGTCACTGTCGTCTTTTCGGGTGAACTTGAAGATAGTAATTCTTGTTTTCGCGGATCCCATACACTTATTCATTCTGCCTGAAATGCTTACAAACATGGTATTTAAACATCATTTAAAACAAATTCAATTTACCTCAGAAATGTTTTAAATTGTAGACAAGACAAATATCTCGATCTGTGTCGGATGGTTTTTAAAAGATGGCGGCATTCTGGAATTATTGGTCTTGGACGTTAAAGAATTGCATTTTTTGTCATATTTAACACTTAAACTTTGAAATTAAAAAAATCTCAATTTTGTTGTAATGTTTTATAAAATACAAAAACTGAGAATTTTTGGGAGGAATCTAGACCGGTTTAAATGAGTTGTGTGTTAAATAAGCATTTAACGCACGTGAGGGTTGTTTTACACACATTTCAGTGCTGTAAACAAAACAACAACATTTGAAGTATATGTAGCGCAGATTTTATCACATTTTGACTGAAACTGTTTCTTATTTTTTAATAAAAAAAAGAAAATATTTACCGTTGAGAATGGCTCCGCGAAACCGGCGCGCGGAACCCCCGGTAACCTGATACCCCTCCCAAATTCGAAACTTTACCCTAGAATTTGACCGCCGTGATTTGTACTACCTCACTCAGAGATAAAGATCAGGCGTCAATATTACATGATCGCGCCAATTATATATTTCTATGATACATCAAAATTATATTCAAAACACTAGTGGCACATATGGGCCGGCCTACTTCGGAGACTTCTGATGCGGCGCCGTTAATTTTCTTTTTTTTGGGGGGGGGTTAAGGAGCGACGCGAGTTATGCGGCCGAGTGACGGTTTTGCCGCCGACGGATTTTGCACGGAAACCGTCTCTCGGTGACAAACTCCCTCGGTGACAAACGAACAGTTGTATATTATCCAACTACATAGGTGTCGTTCGTTGTTTCCTCCACCCATCACCCACCCACAACATCCACTTGTTTGCGCCACTCCCTCCAACATGTCACAGTGCATCAGCTCTCTTTGAAAAAGCCAGTGGCACATACGGGTACGCAAGTACAGCGTACAAAAGAATATGTTTAGCCAATAAGATGATGGTTCAAGAATACCTTTAGCCAATAAGATGATGGTTCAAGCCAAACTCCTACGCATTACATTGTAATATAAGTGACAGCATTAGCGCCTCACGCCGCACTTCTTCGAGAGACAACTTTAGACAACGAAGATATCCGTGAGAACTTCCCAGCCACCTTGTGCAGCGATAACCTAGCTCGCAACCAACAGTTCAACCAAGAGCTTCCAACGGTGAGCTAATATGTTTCCAGCTACTCTGTATCTCGTCTTCCCTGTCAAAGCTTTGTATGCAGGAGCCTGGTTTATACAAGTAGCAGAAGTTCGTAGAGTCGTTACGAAACTGGTCTGTTAAAAGTTAAGTTTAAGTTAAGTTAACATGCGAAAGCTTTATTGTAGTGGTTTTCTTTTTGAAAAGGTAGGTGGCACCAACTGATAGAGCCTACTTCAAGCACCACACGTCAACTCCCAAAATATTTCCCGAGTCTTTCCTTGTCTTTCTTTAAAACATTTTCCTTACAACAAAACTTTTCTCTTTCATTGTTGAAATTATTGAGTAATGTTGACTTTCCTACTCGTTTTGTGAAAAAAAAATCATGCCGTACGGGGCGAACATTTACAATTTATTCATCAGTAGTTGCCTGTGAATGTTTGCAAAGCAACAATAAGACTTCATATACCAATGTTACTTAGTTTGTGAGGCCTTCGTCTTTATAAAGAATCGATTGAGCGCACAGCGTAGGGTTTTTTCCGTTGACCCATATAGGAACTGACGACTCCTGATAACTCCAAGAGCCCACACAGAAAGGTGTGCGCGGCGCCGTATTTTGTTCTGCCGATACGCAAGAAAAGAGCCACAATCTCAATAAGAAAAAAAATACAACAGCCAACATTGCAGGATTGTGTGCATTGCGCCGTATTTCGTTTCGGAACACAAAAAGAAATGACGACTTCACGATCTGAACAACGGAATCAGGAATGAGCGCACGGTGCCCTTTTTGTGCTGTCGTTTCGCAAAAGAACTAGCAAGTCCGCAAACTCAAGAACGGAGGCTGCATGCTGAATTGAGCGCACCGGCTCCGTTTTTTGTTTTATCCGGATCACTAAAGAACTGAAGACTTTACAAACAAATGAATCAACGCAGAAATGGGCACATGGTGCGGTATTTCTTCTGTCGATCGGCAAAAAATCACAATCTTCAATACTAGTAGCCAACACTATGGGATTGAGCGCACGGCGCCGTATTTTGTTCTCTCCGGACAAGTTAAGAACTAACAAGTCAAAAATCTCAACAACCGACACAGGCGTGAGCGCGCGGTGGTTTGCGTAGGCTCCCTTAGGGCATAAAGAGCTTCCCCGCCACGCAGTCCAATTACGTTCGTCGTGCAAAATCTACCGGGAGCCTATAGCTAGTTGAACTGGGCGGTATAATATTTATACAGACCAGAAGACCGCCTCGAACCACGATAAACTGGATCCAAATCTACAATTTAAAGAGCCGACGCAGAGATAAGAGCGCATCGACGTATTTTGTTCTGCCAATCCACCAAAGAACTGACGACTTTACAATCTTAAGATTCGACGAAGAATTGTCCGCACGGTGCCGTCTTCTGTTCTAAAATAACAATTTCACAATCGTCAGTAGCAGAAACTATGAGCGCATGGCGCATTGGTCTGTCCGGACCACCACAGAACTGACGAGTCAAAATTGTCAACAACCGACACAAGCCTGAACGTGCGTTGGGTTGGGCGGGCTCCAGTCGGGCATGAAGACCGTCCCCGCCGACCAGTTTAATTATATTATAATTAGGCACTAGGTAGGAGTTTTGCATAGCAGGTGAATTACCTCCCGCCATGCAAGAAAATTTACCGGGAGCCTAGTAGACCTTGGCGGTGGGGGAGCTTCTACAGGCCCGAAGGGAGGTCGCTCGAACCACGATAAACTGGACCCCAAGC